ATGACTGACCCGTCTATTAGTGAATATATGGAAGTCTTTGACCAAAACCTCGCGAATGAGTTCCGGATCCGAGAGATAGAGAACCGGTTTTCCCAACTCATAGACACCGAAACACTTGCCGTTACGGATGTAGAGATCGCGTTGCCATTCGAACCACTGTTTCGTGAATCGTGTCCATAGACTGACACTCGCTGTCCGTACGCCTTGTTTGCGCCAATAGTCACACTTCCCGTCAATATATCTGTCAAATAATTATTTGTATAGAATATATCCAATGTATACAGTAATTAATGTAATAAAATATTAAGCTAGATTACCTGGAAATCAAAAACAATGTGATTCCAAAAATAGCAGAAAAAATCAGTGACCATTTTATTACTGATATTTCAAATATAGTTTGAAATGTCGAAAACATTTTTAAATAGTACTTTAATTGATGTTATTTTAATTAATAATAATATTACTTAAAGTTTGAAAGTAAATTAAAGCCAAAACTTGTTATTTTCTATTCAATAATTGAATGGTTGGTCTGAATATCCTGTTTGTGGTATTTATACGATTTCTATTGAAAGTCATACGATTAGAAAAACTGCCTATCTCATATGACTTTAGGAGTATATACTAGTTATAATACACAAGTTATGAAACATTTGAAAGCGGATACAAATATGAAAGCACCTTCGAAATTCAGAGTTGCCAAATCGAAATGTTATTTTACTACAGTTTATAGTACTAATAATCATGAGTAGAATTCAAGATTTTTTATAAAGACCTTTAGATTCACATCTATATAATTTTGGCCTTATTTTTGGCTTAACTTACATTAATTAAATAGGATTTAATTTGAATTTGATTTACCGAAATAGTTACGATAAAAGTAAAATATTTATTGCAATTAACTATAATAATCATTTTTATTCGAACATATACACAATTATGATTTCACATATGACCGTAAAATTTTACTAATTCAACATATAATTTAAATAAACTAATGTCCAGGTTGACAGTCAACCGTAAGACGGCAGAGATACCTGATTTCCCGGCAAACTTTGAGGATTGGCAACTCTACCTCAATTTGTTGGTTACTTTTGCATGTTTTCGTTAAAATTGATTCTGTCTATCATTGGACGTTATTACGAAATTTAATCTGCTTGTCGGGTAGGGTTGTTGATCAATTTAACTTATTAATTGACCATTATCATTACAAATACTGGTTGTCTATGATTTGACTTAAAATAGAAAGAATGTTTATTTGACCTACAATATAGAATATATATTAATGATAATGTCACAATTGAATTTTAACAAAATAGTCACTCAATTATAGTATATCAGATTGAATCCGGGTGTATTTGTTGGTGTAATTTGCATGTATTTGTTGACTTTTATTGAGAAAAGCAGACTAATCAAATTCAATTAGCTATTTAACTCAGCAATATAGTGTTGGCTATGTTAATAATAAATAATTATAACTGACTAACAATTAAATTAAATTACTTAAACTACCAAATTAAATTGTTTTACAACCCTAATTGACAGACAATAGAAGGTTCCCTAAATCGGTTGGCAACAGGCAATGACAGGCAAAATGAACCCGCCTGACAACAAGCACAAATCTAAAATAATGTAGAAACCTAATGATTAAGAAATTACTGTAATATTATTATTAACCTATAATATTTTAACAAATATTAATTAAAACTTAATTACTCTGTGAATAATAGTTGGAATAATTTTAAAAATATGAATGTTGCATGTTTACTTGTTAGTCATTTTTGTAAAACTATAATATAGTAGCTAGAATACTATTTAAATGAGTGTTTTCCCTATAAAATTTAAAACACTATATCTTATGTATATTTTGTATTCAGTTAACATGTTTTAATTTTTCTTTAAAAAGCGAACATTCAATAGTATCCTAGCTAGATTAAATACTGATATATTAAATTATTAGTGAAAATTAATTTTCTACTTTCTATTTAACATGCTGGTTAAATATGCTATAATTAAATCAAATCAAATATCCAATTGTAGGCAACTCTGTCGGTCATTGTAGGCAATTGTAGGTATTTATGTCAATGCGGTATATCTACAGTACATATTACCGATTTTGGCTAATAATATGACTTATAATAAAACTATTAAAGTTTTGCGAAAATTATTTTCTCGTGAACTACCTTATGTTATATTATTATACAGCATAGACGTCCAAAATTTTTAAAAATCTCAAAAATAGTGTTTTATAACAATATAATAGTTATTTTGTTAAACTATTCATAACACTAGTATTTTCTGATTTAATTGTGACGAAGATTTTTATTGAAAACATATTTATTTATTAAACAACAAAATAATATTAAATGATTAAAATACTAACTCGAAAGAGATTTCTAAAGTTTAGAATCTAAACATACAATAAAAATAATTGAGAAGTAATAGTCATATATGAAAAACTAAGTAATAATCATGGGTATTTAATTAAATGCTACTTTAATCTTTAATGTATTCTTTAAACGTTAAAATTATTCCAATTAATAAAGGAATGGCAACGTTTTTAAATTTTTGATTTATGTTCAATAAAGGACAAAATCCAGAATATTCAAACTTCTGCTGTTCTGTTATTAATTGGAATAATTTTAAAATTCTTTCATGTACAGCGTGTTTCACTATTAGCGGGTAAAGGTTCAGGCTCATATCTCGAAAACTAAATTAGATAGCAAGGTACTCTCGACGGTTTCTAAAACTAGA